GTTAGAGAAAAATATTTGAAAAAATGGTGTTGTTGTTGTTCAGTCGTTAAAAATTTTGTGTGCAAATGCCTAGAGTTTTAACGTGAACATTCATTTCAAGAATGAATTACAAATTGGAAATGGAAATGCAAAAAATTACAAATGGAATATGAGTGGTTAGAGAAAAATATTTGAAAAAATGGTGTTGTTGTTGTTCAGTCGTTAAAAATTTTGTGTGCAAATGCCTAGAGTTTTAACGTGAACATTCATTTCAAGAATGAATTACAAATTGGAAATGGAAATGCAAAAAATTACAAATGGAATATGAGTGGTTAGAGAAAAATATTTGAAAAAATGGTGTTGTTGTTGTTCAGTCGTTAAAAATTTTGTGTGCAAATGCCTAGAGTTTTAACGTGAACATTCATTTCAAGAATGAATTACAAATTGGAAATGGAAATGCAAAAAATTACAAATGGAATATGAGTGGTTAGAGAAAAATATTTGAAAAAATGGTGTTGTTGTTGTTCAGTCGTTAACCTGGTGCAATATGGTTCATGGGGTCACGAAGAGTCGGACACGACTTAACGACTGAACAACAACAACACCATTTTTTCAAATATTTTTCTCTAACCACTCATATTCCATTTGTAATTTTTTGCATTTCCATTTCCAATTTGTAATTCATTCTTGAAATGAATGTTCACGTTAAAACTCTAGGCATTTGCACACAAAATTTATTTTACAGTACAACATTGGTTGCATTTCATGACTTTACATAATTACAAGACAAAGAATAAAGTTCATCTGCCTGGAGAATCAAGAAACCTGAATCAGTTAATCACATTTTGTTTGTTCATCTATTATTTTCATTTCTGTTGAGTATCTATAACATTTTTCACTCTTCTAAACACATTTACTATTAAGTAATATTGAAATACCTGCATCCAAGGACTAAAGGAAAATTTGTCATTTCAAACTCTCCAAACATCCTTAAAGGATGAGACACAATTCTTTCCTTCATGTCTGGGCCTTGTCTTCTGCTCCCTACAGGGCTGGCAGAACCAGTGTGAGATTAGCTGTCTGTCCTGAACACAAGCATTTGGTCACTATTGCTCTTACGCTAAGTCCCTTTTCCTAGGTCCTTAATGCCTGCTCATAGTGGCCTTTCAGCTGGTCTGTTTGTTGGCTTACTTCATATGCTTTAGTAAATTACATCATATTGTACTTTTATTGCTTTTTACTCTTTTGATAGCTGCCTTGGGGATATTAATTTACATCAGAGATGGTGCAAGCATGAAATTGAATTAATATATACAGCAAACAGGGATACTTTCACCAAAGTGAGGGTCTCCTTTCTGTTTTCTGCCTTCTGAAAATTCCCACAGAGCAAAGGGAGAAGGGAGGGGGGACATTTTTTTCCAGTGATCCTGCCCCCAATCATAATTCTCACAATAACCTGTTAGGGGCACGAACAAGCTATTTCCCTCTCTTTCCCTGCGCATTATTTTCTTCCCTCTCCTGTTACACTCAACCGTGGTGGCCTCTCCATTTTTCCCACTGATAATCCATCATGCCATGTCTCCATCCCAGGTTAAATTAATAGAGTAATAGCACATACCAAACTGCTGGTTCATCTAGGCCCTGCGAGAGGAACTGTTTATAGAAACAATGAGGAAATCCAGCACGTTGATGTAGCTGTGATAAGTAAGGACGTGTAGTACTCAAATGAAAGAGTAAACATTCACATTCAGAGAGACCTTGACAATTCCCTCTGCAAATCATGAGATGAATTACTCTCCGTTTTTTTTTTTTTTAACACCCTGAAACTCAGAAGTTCCTATCACACCTAGAGTCAATAGAAGCGAATATGTGTAGCTCAGGGTTGAACTGTGGGGCCCTTGGGGCTCTCTGAGCTTGGTTCTTTTCTTGCAAACATTTCGTTACCCGGCTAGGTAACAGCTTCAGTGCTAGAAGGGAGTGGGGTTTGGTCTCTGTTTATATACAGTGGCATGCCCTGCCAGTGTGGGTGGGGATGGGGGTGTGGGTTTTGTTTTGTTTTATTTTTTCCCTCTGGTAGGTCCCTAGTACATGTAGTGGTTTTCGCGGCATTTT